AATGATTCCTGCCAAACCTCTACTGGCAGGGAGTTCCACAGGGCAGGGCCTGCCATGCTAAAGGTTCGGTCCCCAGTAAAGTCCAAACCTCAGGGGCCATAGTATTCACAATATCTTGGTTGGAAAACTGCAGAGCAAAATTCAGGGAAGTGTGAAATTCGAAAGCTGGCTGTGTTCTAGTTCACGCATTGCTTGTTGTTGTTTAGTCGTTTAGTCATGTCTGACTCTTCGTGACCCCATAGACCAAAGCAAGCGAGGCACTCCTGTCTTCCACTGCCTCCCACAGTTTGGTCAAATTCATGCTGGTAGCTTCGAGAACACTGTCCAACCATCTCGTCCTCTGTCTTCCCCTTCTCCTTGTGCCCTCCATCTTTCCCAATATCAGGGTCTTTTCCAGGGAGTCTTCTCTTCTCATGAGGTGGCCAAAGTATTGGAGCCTCAGCTTCACGATCTGTCCTTCCAGTCAGCACTCAGGGCTGATTTCCTTAAGAATGGATAGGTTTGATCTTCTTGCAGTCCATGGGATTCTCAAGAGTCTCCTCCAGCACCATAATTCAAAAGCATCAGTTCTTCGGCAATCAGCCTTCTTTATGGTCCAGCATTGCTTAGGAAAGTGTAAATTAGGAAGGCTCACCTGTAAATGCAAACTGAATCAAATCCCCCCCCCCCGCAACATACACTTAATTGTCTCGTTGCCTGTTCTTGCTTTATTGAAAATTAAAAGCTTTGTAGAAGAGTCACGCTGCTCCTCTCTGTGCATGCTTGGAACTGACTGTGGAACCCAGAAGAGTTTGGCTGGAGAGGAATGGACTCAGTCTGTGCAAACTTTCTGTAGTGAAATCAAGAGGTTCTTTTTCCTATCCTTAGAGAAAACCTCATTTCATTCATAGCTGGATGTAGAGGATGATTCACTTACCAAGTGATTACATCCGCCCTACAGTAAGTTAACCACCTGGTAAGTGGTCATCTGCATTCATTCTTTGCCTTAGCTTTTAACATTCCAAATCCCATGTCCCCTGTCGAGGGCGACAGACAAGATTTAGTGGGAATTTAGACTGCAAAATTAATAAAGCAGCCTAGCAATAATACTCTCTGTTGGAAGTTTGATAAAACTGTCCGCATTTGCAAATGTCAGGCTAAAGAGGAAGAATGCCTTTTGAAATATTAACATGTCAGCAGAGTGAATAGAAGTGTTGTATATTCTGTTGGAAATCATCGTTGCCCACCCCAGCGAAATGTTTCAGGAATATAATCAAAGCGGCTCTGGAGGAAGCTGATAGTCTCCTCTGAAGATTTCAACTTCAGACTTCTTCTGAAATATTGCTTGTTTGCAGATGCTTGTTCCAGCTTCTCTGATGCTGATTAATTACTTACGGAAATATAGGATGGGAGACGTTTTTACACAGGTACAATACACGGGTTTATGTTGCTGAATTGTAAATCAGAGTCCCAGTGACGTGAAAAGCGGCGCGTGGCTAATCCAAAGTTCACCTTCAGGAAGGGCATGAATCATCAGCTGCACATCCATCGCTCGCAATTCACATTCAGAAAAATGAATAATTGCTGAATGTGTGGCACAGAACTACAAATCAGATGCAAGTCCTTGGTGCAAATCTCGCCTCCATCAAAATTCCCCAGTTGGCCTTCTGCAAGCTCTGCTCATCCCCACAATGGCAGCAGAGGAAGGATAGAACTGATCCACCTTGTAAGGCTGCTGGAAAGACTGTTATAAGAAAAAAGAAACTGCTCCTTTTCCCTTATGGGGTATCCAAGAGCCTGTATAGAGTCCTTAAGTGGGCCCCCTATCAGTAGGAGAAAATAACAGAGGCCAACCAGAGTATATCGAGAAGAAAGCATCTAGTAAGCCTGATCTTTATTAAACTGCTGCAACAGGGTTCTCACTCACCACATGCAGGAGGGAGGAGGAACTCAGAACCATGGTGTGCAAGCCCTTATATAGACTTTTGAAATTGCCCACCCTATAGCCCAAGACCACCCCCCTGAAACATCATACATACATCACAGAAGGAGGCGGTCTATAGCAGAGGAGGTGGTCTACAGCAAGAATCCCGTTTGCCAGGATACCTGATAATGGTCACTGATTGCATTACCTGGGCAGTCTGATGGTTAACTTGAATCCAGGTCACAGGCTCACCCCATTCACACACATAAGCAAAAACCTTAAGCAAAAAGACAGGAATATTTGAGGTCATTGGGAGAGTCAAAATGGCTTCAGGATTGCTCTCCTGTACTATTTCAGACATGTGGTTTATGTAGTTATGTATGTGTTTGCCTTGTACATTTGTGAACATTTAATTCATATTTGAGACCTTAGAATTCTTACAACAAGACGAACCAAGTGAAACTCTTTCAGTGCTACCTCCTACGTTGGAGGCAGTAAACTTTTGAATGATGGTTGCTGGGAATCCTAAGTGTGGAGAATGGGCATTGACAGTCTTTGTTCCTTTATGGATGCTTGAAGAGGGCTGGTGGGTCCAGAACTTACACAGGAGGTATAGAAAACTTATGTTGGTGGGCACTGCAGGGAATCAGAGTCCTACACTACCCAGAAGGTGGTGGGAAAGAGGGATAGCTCCCTCCATATTTTAGACCACATGAGCTTACTCCCTGGGAGCTCCTATATCTCTGTCTGACTAACTGTTTTTGCAGCCTGAGTGACATTGTCACAATCAATCAAATGGGTCTAGGTGTGCATGCCAAATGCAAAAATCTTGTTGCTTTTTTAAGAGAGAGAGGGGGGGGGAGATTTGTTTGTGTGCAATAGCCTGTGTTGATTGCATTGCAATCCGCTGAAAAAGAAGGGTGGCATATGAAGAATAACAACAACAACAACAGCCCTCAGGAGCAATGATGATGTAATGTCATATTGGAAGTAGTTCCTGATGGAAAAATTGTGCTCATCCAAAAGCAACCACAAGGAGCTTCAGAGTGGTCGATGTGCTCATGTGTTGCCCCCCAAATTTCCAAACCCCCATCAGCCACATTAAGGTGGAGTGATCGTGGCTCCACAATGAACAGTCATAACATGTAGATGGATCATAAGGAGGTCAAAACAATTATGGTTCTCATATATATATATATATATTATTGGTTTTTTTAACATATCATTTCCAACAATCATATAACATAGCTTCGTATCTTATACAATGTTTTAGACTTCCGTCAACACCTCTGATGATTTTTTTATCTTTATCACTTATTCTGCATTTCTTAATTTCTCTATTACTCTTAATTATCATTAACTAATAATTCTCCTTATAGTCTTTCTTGCAATATTTCCTTCCCTCTTCTATTTTTTCCCTTTTTTTTATGTTTTGCAATTTTGTTACTCTTGCTTTTATTTAGTTGGGAAAGCTCTGTGGTGGATTGGCTAAGCCAGAAGAAATATATTTTTAATACCTTTATTAATTGGATTTAAAACAATTATGGTTCTCGAGTTAAAATGTTGACCAGCAGAAATGGGAGATTGGCAGGTTTAGCTGAAAGTTACTTTTTTAAAAACATTCTTTGTAATTCTTTGGATTTGATATCCCCCTCACTTATCTTATATTTCTTTTCTTGGCCAAGGCAAACAGAGCTGGAAAATCACTTTGTTCCTTAAGTGCATAGACATTTGCTGCCTCCCTGTGGACAAAGCACAGCACGTCCTCTTTTCCTTGTGTGGACTGGAGAAGGAGGAAATCTAAAGATTCACAAATCTCTCTCTCTTGCCCCCCTTTTCCTACAAGCATCATTCTCTTTTTCCATAGATAGACAAATCTATGGGTGAAAACTCAAATGGCTATTACAGACCACTAGAGCCCATGCATGAAGAAAGTATGGCATAATGAGGGATGTTTTGAAATGCCTTTGGTGTTCTTTACTGGCACAATTCTATAGTGCTAGATCAAAATTTCAGATCTATAGCCGAAGGAGTGCGAACTCTCACATTGTTTTATTTAAAAAACTTTTAAAATTCAAAATTAAAACAAAACATATTATCCAGAGACATATCACCCTTATCCCCCCATTTTTCCTCCCTCCCCCTCCCTCCCCCCACAGAACCCACCCACCCCCACCCCCGACTTCCCTCAGTTCCAGTCTTTGATTTCTCTAAAAATGCTGTTTTCTGCATGTTATACAGTTGTATAGATCCTCAAACTATTTAGCTGATTATTATCTATAAAAAGTTTGTGAATGTTTATTCAAAGCCAGCCAAGGAGTCCAGTTTGCTTTGTTGCGTCTTCAAATACTTTGTAAATGGTTCCCATTCATCTTTAAAGTCACAGTTATCCTTGTCCCGTAGCTTGTATGTCAGTTTTGCCAGTTCTGCGTAGTCCATCAATTTTTCTTGCCATGATTCTTTAGTTGGGGTTTCTTCAGTCTTCCATCCTTGTGCTATTAAAACTCTCATGGTCGTTGTCACATACATGAAGATGTTTTTCAGCTTTTTTGGCAGATCTTTCCCTACCATCCCTAACAAAAATGCTTCAGGTTTTTTTAACAAATGTTAAATGGAACATTTTCTTCAATTCGTTGTATATCATTTCCCAATTTTTTTAAATTACCTTACAATCCCACCACATGTGATAAAATGTCCCCTCCTTTTCCTTACACTTCCAACATATATTTGAACTAGTTTTGTACATTTTCCCTAACTGGGATGGTGTCGTGTACCATCTGTACATCATCTTCATGTGCGAACTCTCACACTGACCTGCCTGGGTGTTAAGATCAACAGGGAAGTCTGTTCCCAGGGCTACTGCCCTCTGTGAAGTGACCCACTTCCTTGGAGAAAGAATTGAGTGCCTGGCTTGTGAGAATCTCTTGGGCAGTGAATGCCCACTTGTTTTGCAGGCCGGCCAATCCCTTTAATTGCCTTTGCATCCCAAATCAAAGGCACCCTACATTCTTGGTACAAGAGTCTTCTAGAGGACTACACACTGAACGAACATCTCCTAACATTCTGTTTTCCTTTTTTTATCTATCTCTTGTTCTAG